CCCTTCAACGAATAATCAAGGAGGAGGATCAAAATCGGACACTGTGGAGAGCACCCCTTGTGGGCTTTCTAGTTTGAACAAAGAGCCCGCATGAAAAAACCCCCAAAGAAAATAGAAAAGGAAAAAAAAAGCCACTTGCACTCGTCACAAATAAAAAATTTCAGTTTATTTATATAACGCCAATTCACAACACAAGTCATCTCAAGGCACTTTACAGTTCAACCAGATCATACAGTCAAATTGATTAATTCTCATTTCTAGATTTTTTTTAATTATTAGATGATAATCAATAAAGCTAAAAACATTTTAGGGTAATATTTCCAAAAATGTAAAGATTACCAAATTGAAAAGTGCAATTTCAATTTAAAGATAGTGATACTCAAAAAAACTGTCAACTACAATCAAGTCATATGGGAAAAGATTTGGGAATTCAATGGATTTTTTAATACATAACTCACCTCTAAAAGGATGGACAAATAGGTAACACTTAAGGTAGAAGAGAAAAAAAAGTTAAAGCTTTTTTCTAGACATCCTATTCAAAGCACGGCAACTCAAGTTCAGATTATTTTCAATCTAAATCATTCCTGAACAGCAATTATGGCCTGTAGATAGTAGCTGAGCTGTTGTTGCTACATTCTCACATGCCTTTTTTCCACATTTCATTTGTAAACAATAATGTGCTCTGTTAAATGAACAATGATTTATTTTTTTTTAATCCTGAGATTGAATTGCTAATATTTTGATAATAATTACTTTTGGTAATGTATACAATTTAAGTGACTTTAAAGTGTTAAAAGTTGAACACATTTTTTTTCTTCTTACTGATGGTCTAAAGCAGTATCTGGCTTGTAAAATAAAAAAAAAACAACCAATCACATTTCATGCAGGCATGTTCATTGTGTTATACTGTACACTGGAGAAGTTCAACCTCATTGTAGCACAAATGTTTATTTGAAACATCATCTGGAGTTTTTTTCCCTTAATATTCCAATCAGGTTTTTTTTCAAACCTTACACACAATGGTTGGTCTCTATTGACTGAGACTCTGGTTTTTAAGTTTAACCTTAACGACCAACCAATCAAACGTATTAAAGACTCCTCTCTATTTTAGTCTGCTATCAGCTGTCAATCAAATGCACCTAGAGATCGGTGCTTAAAGCAATCTCTAAACTTAAAAAAACATAAAATGCAAATTCTGCCTCCAAATGAAGACATATTGAGTATTACCGACTTTGGATGGGAGTTTTTTTTCCTTTCTCCCCACTGACTGATTAAATTTTGTGATTTGCTTCAGGGAACTCAAGCCAAACTGCTGCTCCTTTTGTCCCCATTGTGCTTTTTTTTTTTCTCTCTTATTTAATTTTCTTTTTCAACACATTAACCCCATACATATGAGATGGATGTAAATTAATCATACTGAGCTTCTGGCTGAATTTTAATTCGCTTCTTTTATGGATTTCCTCAAATGGAAATACCACTACACACTGTTTACTCTCACAAAATACTGTTGCTTTTTCTGTGCAATTTCTCTTCCAGCAGCTGAAAACATCAAATGTCAGGAGTTACTAATATATCATTTTGTTTTCAAGGCAATTTTCTAAGTTTTTTTTTTTAAAACCAGACTGATGTTCCTTAGCTGTTTAGCTTTGACACATTTAAAGTAATCTTTTCTTGGAGTAAAAGTGAGAAGTCTTGTGATCAGAAGTTTAAATGCAGTCATTATATGCAGGATTCTTTAGTAATTTAGCTGGTTTAATAATTAGTTAGCGTAATTTGTTTTGTTATTATTTTTTTTAAAGACTTTACAGGCTTTTCTAATGATACTAAATACCGGCTCTACAGCAGTCTTCTACTCGTTTCCGTAGCTTGCACTACAGGTTTTTTTTCTTTTGTCACCTTACCTGGAGATGCCATTGCTGTCTGTGTTGAACTGGATGCCATGCGCTTCTGATTATCCACCAAATCCATCTTATATATATATATAACGTTTCAATTGTTTGAAAAGTGGAGCTGGTTTACAGTTGCCTTTTTTTTTTTTATCTCTGCTTCTTTCTGTATGTCTGCTTTTGTCTCCTTGAACCCCATTCGGGCTCAGCAGATCACACTGAGCCTGGTTCTGCTGGAGGTTTCATCCTGTTAAAAGGTAGTTTTCCTCTCCACTGTCGCTACATGCATGTTTGGTGCGAGGGATTTTCAATGAGTCGATGCAATCAGCTGACTTTGACTGTATTATCTGGTTGAATTGTCTCTGTAAAGTGCCTTGAGATGACATGAGTTGTGAATGGCGCTACATATTAAACTGTATTGAATTGTTTGGTACGTTGGAATCATTTTACATGGATGTTGCATAACATGATGTTGTATCTGCCAAAGAGTTTGGGAACTTCTGACCCGAAGTAAATTCAAGAAAATATGCTACAGGCTTATGGATCCATCAGTGCTCTCAGGGGCGCACTCATCCAACCTAAACCACGTTTTAGTCGTAAATGATTAAATATTAAGCTTTTTTTCCCCCCTTTTTTTTCCTCTTGAGGTTTTTACAGCACTAGTGGCTCTTTGCAAAGTAGACTGACAGGAAAAGGGGAGAGACATGTGGCAAAGGATCACAGGCTGGATTGTACGCGCTAACCACTGTGGCACTGAAGCATGCCCAGCTGTTTTTAAGTTTAAATTTACAAAATAGTCTCTTTAAAATAAAGATTGAAATACTTTGTACATGAGAAAAGCTCTGGATGGAAAAGTTTGTATGTTGACGTGTTGTAAGTATCAAAGGTTGAAAAGTTACAGCCAAGCCACAAATTATCCATGGCCGTGGTAGATTTTGGATTAAAGCAATGCCCTAATCAATGCCCTAATGCCCTGGACATGTTTCTTTAGTCTTGAAGTAATAGTTTGTGGTCCAACCAGTTTACCAATCTGTATCAGTTGTGAATTATGGCTTGAACCTCTCCAATTGAGGCCATTGTGCTCAGTTTCTTTCACAATGTTAAATGGTAAAAACTGAGCTTTACTTTAGATTGTTTTTTCTGTAGGGCTGCAACTAATGTTTATTTTGCTGATTGATTGATTTATTGACTACTTTTTGATTAACTAAGAATCACATAGCAAAAGGTGCTTAACTGCAGATCCTTTTCTTCCCTTTTTAAAAGAAATTAATTCAGAAGATGAAGTTAAAACTTTCCCACTTAAGGATTTAGATTAAGCATATTTACATTTTTTGATGCCGTCTTGAATTAATGTTGGTGGGTTGGCCACTTTTAGAAGGTTTAACACTGTTACTTGTTTTTCCATGAGTAAATATTGGCTCTCAGTTTCACTAACTATAATTCTGAAAACCCTTAGAAACTGCTGTTTCATTTTACATAGTGATCCATTGTTAAAGAGTTTTTTTCTTTTCCTAGTCTGTTAATTTTTTTTCTAAGAGAAAAAGTGATATCTGAGTTATTCTTTTACCAAGGCTTGGTGTGATTATAAAATCTCACCAAAAGCTTTATTAAATCATTGTTAGTTATTAAGTACGTAACATTTTTTTTAACAGTTAATAGACAACCTTATAATCATATCTCCACTTGTTCATTCCAGTAATAAAACAAGACATGTTTTAAAAACATCTTTAATTTGTCTTGTACAAAAACTTGTTTGATAACTTGAAACATTTTAATATTTTTAAACCGTGCTCTAGATGTTCCTGTCTAGAAACATTTTACTGTGTATCAGCAATAGTTATCTTTCACATCATAATCTTTGTGCTTAAAAGGTGCTTACAGTGAGCACAACCCAAGAGTAACAGTGCAGCACTCCATTACTGCACCAGGTCATAACAGACTAAAGATAATCTACCGGGGTTTAAACCTTAACACCTTGATTCTGGTTGTAACATAACCAGCAGTCCTGGGGAGAAAAAGGGTTCAGGCTAAATATGTTCCTAAGGTTCAGGGAGCATAGCTTAACATTTCTATCTACTTTGCACACAAACAACAAACCGACTTATAAAAATTAATGAAAATTGAGAGTATTCCATTGAGAGTTTAGTCACTATTTTTTACTTTATGTGGGAAATGTTAACTGAAAGTTAAAAAAAGGAGTATCAGCATTATTATTATTTTTTTTTATCATCCTTTGTAACATTTTCTTAGTTGGTACAATACGTCAATATTTTTTTTTCTCTTTAAAGGTTGTTAACCTTAGCTACCATAGCTACCATTGAGGTGTTCTTCTCTGCCCACTTTAAAACCTAAAAAAAAAAGCTTTCCATGCATCTTATTATCATCAGCTCTATTGCTTAGGACTAGCTGGCTTTGTGTAGAGAAATTGATCTGAAAAAGAGTATAGTGTTAGAAACACACGCAACTACACAGGGATGAAAGGTCAGCACACCAAATCAATTAGACATGAAGCTGGCCTTATTAGCCTGCGAGAAATTAACTAAAAAGCACACCTCAGAGGAGTGAAGGGTTTGTGCTGCTCATATGATCCCATCCAATTAAAACCTTTAGCTGACGGAAGTTTCTAATTAACAACAACTCACTGCCTATTTTTGGTTTTCAACTTCATGTAACAGCATAAGGTGTTAAAAGTGTGAATTCGTTAACAACCCAAGAAATGTGAGAGGAAGATATGCTATAGCTGCTCTGTCATTAAAAAAGAAAAAAACAACATGCACAAAAGAGGGAAGAAGGTGCGATAGGATCATGATTTTTTTAATATAAAATGTGCATCATGCACATGCATCATTAAATATTCTGTTCATAGGAAGGATTTGGTATTTCCTGTATAAGGCATAAATGATTGACCTGCTTTCTGGAACATAAAGACAAACTTGTAAGGAAGAGCCACTCTGGACTGAAATCAAAGCGCAGCTCAAATGGCATCCTGCAGTGTTTATGCTTGAATCCCAGCGTGGAGTTTTTGGGCAGTCTTTCATTCCTCATGTGGTGTTTGTTTATAGATGTCCTCTCACCATCTGTCCATTCTCTCCCTTTGTTTTACTGCTGCTTTAGGTGCGGAATCCAACAGCGAATACAGTTCTGGGATATGCATACTGGATTCGGAGAGCAGAGAGACTTCATCGGTGGCATCCTCCGTCCGCACCGGCTCTGTCCGAGATCAAGGGGGTGGAGACAGAGGGAGAAGCTCAGGGGCAGCCCAGTTTAAAGACCCTAACTTGACGTGGACTGGTGGAGATCAGAATATGGGAGAAGATTATGGAGAGTCCAAGAAGGAAAGCCTGCAGGCCTTTAAGCAGGAGTTATTGGGTGTCACAGGAGAGGAGTAATGAAGGTTCAGTAGCACATGACCTGAAGTAAAAAAAAAATGGCTGCTCTTTAATTATAAATAACTCATAAGAAAAAAATCTAAACTATCAAAGGTTTTTAAATATTTTTGACGAAACAGTTTTATTTTTATAAAATGTTCTTACTTCTGTTTTTGGTTGGAATGACATAATACATGAAGTTTATCAAGGCAAACAGAATCGAAAGCTTGATTTGTTTCATAGCGATTCCATTAGTATGTTTCATACTTTGAACAGACTTTTATTTTGGAATTATAATATTTGCTCTTATTTATTTGACATTTCATTTTCTTAAAAAAATGTAAATATCAGGATTTTTTTTTTTTTTCATTTTTAATGTACAAAATTATTTGTAAAAATTTTGTAAATTTTGACATTAGAGCAACATTTACTTGAAAAAAAAACAGGTTCTTCAGGGTCCTAAAACATGTTGATTCTTATTAAATCCTTTTACTTTTTCCCGATTTTTATTTTTTCTTCTTGCCAAACAGAATGATGGCACATTTTTGACCAATTTTCTTTATTTTGCTGTCACAAAGTTGAAGAGGATGTAATGGTGAGTTTCAAACATCGTTTTTCTACCAACAAGAAGATTCACAGGTGGCTTCTTTTAGGGCTGTGATAATTCCTGACTATAGGCATATTGGTTTAACTCCCTGATCCAAAGTTACATCATAATGAATAATTGATGAAATAGTTCAGGTATCCGTATTGACAGTCATGTTTGTAAGCAAATTCTACACATTTTTAAAGCCCAGTAACTCTTGATGCTGATCATCTTAAAAGTAATGCTGTCATTTTTTTTTATTTACCCTCTTTTTAGACCTTTGTCTCTGAGTCCACTTGCATTGTACTTTATTTTTTATGTTACTTTTGAATAAATGACAATTTTTTCTTGCTAAGTGGCTTTTCTGTCTTCTTTCTTAAGTGTGATGGTTTGATAATCTCATGTTATTTCTTTTTGAATGCTATACTTCCAACAGATAAACATTGTATCTTCAGCTTTGAAGGTACCATCATGTCATACAAGAAGAAAGTATTGCCATAAATTACAGCCACAGCTGTGCCTCATTTACTTCGAATGTGGTTAACATTTTAGATGTTTACAAATTATGACAATTTCTCCCCCCCCCCCCCCCCCCCCCCAAAAAAAGAGAAAAGGTTGAATTAGTTCTGTGTGACAAAATGGGCTAAAAAGAGGTAAACTTGACAAATAACTAGTATTACGTTATTGACATCAATGCACTACAGCAGCCTTCACTCTTTGATTCAATCTGAATCAACATTCAGCTGCATTCTTCCTTCCAACCTATCTATGAAACTGAGAATAGGATCATTGTCTCTGTGCAACCGAGACTAGTGAGCTTAGCTCTCATATTCGTGTCACTGTGAGTGAAAGCAGAATTCTGAAACAAATCTATAAAATCACATCAGGTTGGCTATTCCATAATCATTCTGGATTATATCTTTTGAATAAACATCAATACTTTGGTTTAATGTTTTTGTTTTATCCCTAGTTAATTATCAATCTTCAGTGTAGAGTTTATGTGAAAAACCAACAGAAGACACAAGAAACAAAATGATAAATGGATTTCAACTAGAAAACTGAAAAACATGGCAAGTATTTGTTTTGGGATTCCTTCACACTGATATCCTAAATAAAATCTGGTACATCCTATTTTAGAAGTTACTGTATTGGTAAACAGTCCATCCAAAATCGATTTGATCTTAGTATAGATAGAGCTGTCCTATGTAGAGACAAAAAGTTGTTTGGAGAACAGACATCGTGATGAACACACACCAGACGGTTCAGGGACAAGATATGGGAAAGTTTAAAGCAGGCCTAAGTTATAATACAGTATCCTGGACTTGGTACATCTCTTAAAGTCCTTCGTATTCTATTACCATAAACACATGCCAGTCTAATTACACTGACAGGGTGTGTAAGGACAGGATTAATCAGAAAGGCAGCCAGGAAACACTTAATAGCTCTGGAGGAGCTGCTGAGATTTATTACTCAGATGGGAGATTTTGTTGATAGGACAACCATTCTGCACTTTACAATCCTTGCTTTTATGGAACAATGGAGAACAAATATGCCTCAAGCTACAAAGAAAAGAGATTAAATCAAAGCGAATTTCAGGTTAAGATGTAAAGCCCCTAAAAACAGAACTCACACAGTGACACTACTACTAATGGGAGGCTTTTCTGCTATAAGCACTTTTAGTGTCTAATGCAAACTACACTTTCCAGATTGTTTTCGCAAAAAAAGTCAAAAACCAAATAGTTTCCATTCAAAGTCACAATTATGTTGTTTTGTTTTGATTATTGCGTATGGCCCAAATCAAATTATGTGAAGTTTGTGGTTACAGTTTCAAAAAATAGTGAGTGGAAGTAATATGGATACTTTTTCAGTGTCTTGTACTTTCTGTCCTCCAAACACAAAGGTTACACATATTTAACAAGTCCTAATAAACAGATTTTAGCTTATTATTATTATTATTATTATTATTATTATTATTATTATTATTATTATTATTATTATATCAACATTATTATCATTATTCAACATTTGAATTTAACTCCAGAAATTCTGAATTTTCTTTTTGAAACTTTAACCAAATTACTGTAGATTTGCAGGTGAGAATATTTGAGGAATCTTTCTGCTGGTGAAGGATTTTGTTTCTTTGCAGGAGTTTTATAGAGGATGTAATGAGTACCTATAAAGAGAAGAACCGCTGCAATAAAGGACCTGCTGTCCACAATCTGACTGAAAACAAGCTACAAACACTATGGTGGAAACTTTTGTGGGTCACTTTTTGTGACAATGTTTGCATATCAAAACTCTTCTGTCAGTGTAATATCAGGAGAACAAATGGCTATCTAAATTTTGAGTTGCTTTAAAATCATTATGTTGATTAATGCTGAATTGTGGTCATTTTTCTGTGTCTTTGCATTGTTTCTGAACAGAACAAGTGAGAAGATTTAAATCACCAAAATCAAACTGCTGAGCCTGGCTCACAGCACTTCAGAGCTCCATCCATCTAAATTGGTCTCATATCGTTAATTGTCAGAGTGCTGAGCTTTCACCCGGCAGATAGTCCACAAATAAGGTGATCTATACCATGTGTTTACATTTTTAATCTATATGCTGATTGCTTCAAAGATGGACTTTAGATCCCAATGGGGGGAACTAGAATGAAATGAATGAGTTTAGGAATAAACACTGAGATGTTTTATCTGTGTAATTATAAAATCCACTCTAAAAGTGGATGCACTTAACTTTTTAGGAAGAGTTCTCAGGATTGTAGCTGTACTTTTCACCAGAAGACCTAGAAATTCTGTTGTTTGTGAAATTAAGACTCAAACTACTTCACTGTCAGTGATGATTTGAGGTTTTATCAGTGACTCATTTCTCTTAATTTATTGACTATTATTAGTATTGAAATTATTTTAAAGAAGTTACTGCTGAGTGCTAAACCTAAGAAAATGAGTTTTGCATGAAATCACCTGTGAAAGGAGAAGAAAGTCTATAGAAATACTGCAATTGTTTGCTAGATCAACAGATAAGGTGCAGTCTTTCTTGTAGGTTGTATCAGTTTTCAGATGTTTATTGATTTATAAATGAAACAGTTTCAGGGCTGCAGCATAATCATGGCTTTTTTTCCTAATCTATGGAGCTCAAAGTTACAAAGATCACTGTCATAATGCATAATCAACAAAATCAATCCCATTCAAAATTGGAAGTTTGTCATTCCAAATTACTTTACAGTCTAAGTCCACGTTGCCAGGCCTATTTGTCTCATTATGCAAAACTGATCAGTATTTCTTAATCTAGCCTATTAGAAGAGGCTTTTCTTTGGGAACTACCTGGTTTCCTTAAATAAAAAATAGCAAAAGAGCAGAACAGGATGTATGGTTAGTAAACTTTTCATGGCTTCATCATTCAGCTGCTCTATATTTTGTCAAGTCTCAACCAATAACTTTTAAAGCAGTTGATTCTCTGTAGATTAAAAATTTCTTTTAGGTGTTTCCTTATAAAGATAATTTCTACTAGCAGCAGCAGCACTACAGTTATAGGTTAATTCACTTGAAATTAAAACATCAGTTAAAACACAACAGAAAAACATGTTACAAACATTGGTTTCAGTTGTTTGAGTTGGAATTATGACATTAGTATATATAGTTCTCATTACTTAGTGTACAAACAATAAAAGCTGTATGTTCTCCAGGTCCATAGAGTTTGCATGGCCAAATCACAGCAGAGAGGGAATTAATTGTAGATTGTGGTCTAATTGTTCTGCTGCTGTCAACGCTGTAAAAACCAGCAGGGAGAATGATGTGCACTGACCGTTGGCTTGAAGCACTTTCCTCCTCTGCTCCGTAATTTTGCACGACATTAATTGGCATGTTCCTATCTAAACTCTGTATGCCACCCACATGCCCTCAACCGATGCAATGTAAACCACAATTCCTCTTCTTTTTTCTCTCCAGAAGAATATTGGCCCTTTTGTGTTTACCGGGGGAAATTATGCAACAAGCAGCAGCAGCACCCGCTCGTCAGTTTTAATTGCCACTGTACAAAAAAAAAAAATGTTCTTCCTTTTTCCAAAGAAGCCCTTAAAAAACATTTGGCCTGTGCGAAGGAGAGAGGAGATGCATAAAAATGCAATGAGGGTAAATTCACTTAAAAGATACGTCTCCGTTGCCTCCTGAGTATTTCCAACTTAAACTAAACATTATATAGGTGTGCGCCATGATCATTTAGACGCTAATTGGTACAGCAGATCCTTTTTCTCCACTCTATGGTAACTGTGCAGCAGGAATAGAGCTGACGTAATTTTGTTATGGTTCAGGCAAAGGTAGCTGGTTTATCTGAAATGTTTTGACTCAGTTAGCATTTGATGATGGGGGGACTTCCATTCAAACACATCACACACCATTGCAACAGTTATGCCTGTTTTATAATGATCATCTCTGGCTGGTTGGGATAGGCATACTTGGTGGAAGTTGTTTAGTTGTTAACGAATGAACCAAAAAACTAAACTTTTAGACTGACTGAATAAGAGTGTATTTTTTTTTGCTTGACAATCCCATGTTTGTAAAGCTTTGACCCTTTTTTTCATCAATAGCCCCTTATATATATATATATATATATATATATATATATATATATATATATATATATATATATATATATATATATATATATATATATATATATATATATATATATATATATATATATATATATATATATATAACATATTGGAAATAAGAATTTTGAATAATTTGGGGCAGTACAGATATTTCTCAACGTTTCTCATACGGGCGGGCAGATTTTTCTGCTGCAGTGCTGTAATAGACTCAGCAGACTGTAGGAAAAGGTGTTGTTTGATGCTTACAAGCAGCTATTGTAATTTGACAATTATTTATTAAAATATGTTTGTGTTCAATTATAGTCTGCAGAAACAGGCCTTTGTACAGAAACATGTGACTGTGCTGGTTTAAATCATATTAATTTTCCTCAGAAAATCTTACCTATATAGTCAAAGGTCAACATTATTGACCATTAGACATTTCTGCACACTTCCAATGATGACGGTTTACGTAGAATCAAGAAAAATCAACTTCACAATTATAACTGTATATAAAACCAGTGAGTACTGGTGAATAGTAAACTTCAGAGTAAATTATATATTTCTAATTACATCAGGGCCTCTTTAACTTACCAGTTAACTAAAAGAAACATGAAAGCAAACAAAGAAAACATTACTTTCACTCTATGCTAATTAAAAGCAGTGGTAGGACATAATTTGAAAACAAGAATCATCTTAATTAATTCCTTAGTTCATCAATAATATGCAATCATATGACTATCAAGCAGTATTACTTTACACAACGGGCAACGTATTTTATTTCCATTAAAATATTGCCAATCTAGAAATCTAAAAAAAATCTCTATATCAATAATTTACAGGTATTTTTTACCTTGTGTTTTTTACAACATTGCTAATTCTCTCTTTCCAGATTTCTTATGACTTATTTAAGCAACTTCTGGTATGAGGTAAAGATAATCATGTCTTATATTATAGTGTGCAGACCAGCCCCTGTTGCAGCGAAGCACCTCCCAAACCATGACACCAACACCCTCAATAGTTAGTATAATGCATGCTCTGTTTTAGTGTAAAAATAAACAGATTTTAGACTCATCTGTTATTGAAAAAATATTCCAAGAAATCTTGTCCTTGTCTACCTTTACATCCACCCTGATTTCTCTTAAAGAGCAGTGGCCTCCTTCCTGAAAACCTCCCATGAATTTTACAGCGATAAAGTGTCTTTGTAAATGTACAGGTATATGATTTCATATCAATAGTAGCAAGAGTTTCCTGTAGGTCCAGTGGCTACATTTTAATGGTTTTGGGAGACTTCTTTCAATATCTTGTGGTCTGCTCTTTGGGGGAAATTGCTTTCACAGCCAAACCTGGGAATGTTGGATGTTGTTTTGAATGTTCTACACCCCTAGGCCTTTCCCCGGAGAGTGGAATTGCTGATTTCAAATTATTTCCTGTCATCTTTAAAAATTGTATATTAGACTTAGAAAATACAAGAACTGCATTAACAATTTTTTATTTTCTTCTTCTTATGGTTATATCTAGTCATTTTTGTTAAAAGTGTCTCTACTTAAGCTTCAGGCTCTGATAACACATCTGTAGGTGTACAAAATACCCCCATGTTCATTGGGTAGAATGAGTAAAGTGGATGGTTTTATAACCATCAGATAATCATTTGAAATAAAGGCACCTTTTTATAAAGTAGTTGAGACAAGATTTGTTGTGAATTGGGGATAAACTGAAAAAAATGTAAAAGGAAAAAAGCAGAACGCTCAAGAACATCGGAGCATCCCCTCCATGAATGTGTCCCTTGGTGTTTTTCTTCTCCTCTTAGAGAAAAACTAACTATGCATTGTGCCTCTCAAGTTTATTAAGTGCCGCGCCACTCACCTCAAGTGTCATTCAGTTTTAATGAGATGGAGGTGAATGAGGACCCGGTCAGCCTTCCTGTAGAGACCAAAAAAATAAATAAAAAATAAGCAAAATAGATATCCTTTTCTCGTCAGTCTAAATATGTTGAACCGAAAAACGATCTGGTATAATTGTTTGGGAATTCCCTCTCATTTTTACATAACTTGACATATTTCGCAGTTAAATCAACATGTCACCTTTTATTTTTTAGACCCACGAGAAGGTAGAAGCATGTTTAATGTATTTTGGTTGTTCGTATCTTCAGTTTCCCCGCTGCACAGTGGGCTCATTACTCTCGAGTCGAGAAACAATCGGGGTGGCCAGGAGAGATCGGCGCGTCATTATTTCTGTGGAGGCACAGAGGAAGGTTGCATCCAACTGGTCTTCAGCAGCATTTCTCAACTGCTTCTTTTTTTTTGTTGACAACTTGAATCCAAGTAACTTCCCGACGCGTCCCCGCTGTATGCCACAGATCAAAGATTGTGATTTCATTCTGTTTTAGAGCCCCTCTGCCGTCGGACAGGTGGGATCCATCTGGGGTTGCTGTGGAAGCGTCGTGAGTGATTTTTTTGTTTGTTTTCTTCTTTTCTGTTGTGAATGAAAACCCATTGAACGGCTGAAGAGGCAGAAGTTGTGGGATCACCAGGAGGAGTCAGTGAGAGCAGCACTTCAGCACCAAGGACAGATCTTTAACAGCTGGCTGGCGAACATGCTGAAAGTAAGCAACATCTGGATTCGGTTCTGTTACATGAAGCCACACGGACTTTGGGTTAAGTGTACCGATTCGCGGCTGGCGCAGGGATGATTTAGAGATCTACCTCCAAGAGGGGTAGGAAACTATCAAAAACATTTATTAATGGCTCCGGAGTTATAAGGTACATTTTCTTCTCACATGGATTGCTGGACAAATCCGGTTAACCTTACTCATTTGTTGTCAAAACTTTCCAAACATTTCACTTTATTCTATTCAAATTGTTTTAATTCAGAAACGACAGAATAACAATTGTTTGGTGGCTAACAGGCCTGGGAAAGAAAAAGGTTGCAACACTGGAAATACTATTTATTTGATTATTATTACATTATTTATATAGTGTAAAAATATAAATATTAGAATGGATGAGACTCTAAGCAAATAACACAGTGTCTAAAGCTGTTCATATTTTTAAGGAGAACCAACCTGTTGTGTCTCAGTCTCTGACTGCTGATCTAATTTTCCCGTCATAACCATTCAGGTGATATTTTCTTTAAGCCAGCGAAATGTGGTTTCTGGGAGTTAAATGGGCTGACAGCCCAGATCCCACCCAGCAGGTTTGGATGAAATTATGCCTCTGATCCATGTTCAAATGCAATCATCTGGCTCTTGGTCAACCACAGTTGCATCCTAATTCTTGCAGCTGACAAGTCCAGGTGCAGGGATATACTGAGTCCCTGCTGGAGATTATATGATAGAAATCATGGAAGAGGAATGATGGAGGATAGGTTTGTTTTGTTTTTTGTTTTGTTTTTGTTACCGATTTCTTTGTAGTTGCTTTCAAAAAGACATATTTAGTTGTTTTTTTTCTTTACAGATATTTAGACGTGGGATGCTTTTTTCCCTTATTCATTTTAATCAATGTTTTGATTGATATATTAATATTATTGCTTCAACACTCAATAGTCTGAAGGATTCATGTGCAGTGAACTGCGCTCTGAATAAAATGTAATTTACACTGAGAGGTTGAATAAAACTGGAAACGGTATAAAACCAGTCTCAGTTAATGTCAACATTTAGTAAAAATGAAAAAAGTAAAAGTTTAGCATTAAAGATATACACATAAAAATATATATATTGTATTTTAATCATCTGCTCTTTGCTACTTTCTCCACACACTATATTTCGTGACAATCAAATTATGTCCTTTACATCCAAGTCACTCATCATCTCCAACTCCCGTCTGTTAGTCACATCTTGCACATTAGCTGTTTTTGCTTAAAGATAAAGGTAAATGTCTTTGTGAAGAAACTCCTTTCTGTGCCGGGGCTGCAACAGACTTACATTAGCTGCTGTTTCAAAGCTGAGAAAAAGCTCTACTGCTTTTTTTCTCCTTTTTTCTTTTTGAACTCTCCTTTCAGAGAGAATATTGAGCGCAGGCAGCTGGAGAGCACAGTGACTTCATCGGCTGCTGGGTGTGAGTGTGTGACAGTCGTTTCAAGATAGTTTTTTAATGATGTTATCGAGAAGCTTCTCTGCAGTTGGAGGCAGAGATTTAGCTTAGCGCGGGTGTAAGTAAGCTCTAAATACTCCTCTCATTTAGTCAGTGTTTCAGGTAATTGGAGAGAAACATTATATGTGTAAATAAAGTGCTTGAGTATTTATTTGCAGTATGAGATGTTTTTCTGAATGTCCAAACTTGGTTTCGTTTGAATAGGTCAGCCTAATTGGCTTCTCTTTATTGGACCATTAATTCACCCTGTGACCCTTTCTTTCTAGCCATCTGCTCCAGCAGACAACATAGAGGGGCAATTAGACTTCTAAAATTGAACTCCTTAAGTTTTTTCTATCTTTGGGTTCTAATAACATGGTACAGAAATGCCATCCACCTGTTCTCATTGTTCAGAGGACAAAGCAGCAGCAGATCTGGGACTGCTACAACATCACAAGCAGCCTTATGTTATTTGGTGTAATCCTTGATGGGCAGAGGAGTTATAGATTCAAGAACAGCGTTATAGGGATTCCCATCCACAGCCATGATGTAACATTGATCTGGCGAAATATTCGTGTTTTTTAAATAAATATGTTTCCTTTCTTAGTCTCCTAATTTTTAGTCTTGTTTGATGGTTGAACTGGTTCCTTGCTCTCGAAAGACATCTCTCAGTGTAAAAGTATGCTAATTCACACGTTATCCACATGGTCTTATCTGTGTGTAGCGGCAAAAGCTGGTGTTTTTCTATCCAGCCTCTGCATCTCTACCCCCACCAACTGTGACGGTCTTCAGCTTCTATGACCACAGGAAACAGGACACATTCAGGTTGAATAAAGTCGGAGAACATAGCTGAAAACACTGGTGTCTTTTGTTACAGTCTTATTGATAGAGAACTATTAGAAATGCAAACATCTTTTACCCCAAAGAAGCTTAATTTTGTCTATCTACCTGTTTCAATTTCTGCTGTTACATCTTCCCTATGAAAACATTACATCCGATATCTGCTATGATAAATATGTTGACTCACATACCCAGGAGTTTTCATTTAACCGCTTGCATCGAACAGGTTTGCATATTTTATCCTGCCTACCTACCTGATCATACATCACATTCACGGCTCTCTGTGGTCAAATCTGTGAAAACTCACAACATGATAGGAAGCTGAATTAGAATACGTGTCTCAGTGCCCACTTCCCCCTGCAGTCCCACCCTTATTTTCTTTATCTACAATGTTTCTATGGCAACCACAGCCGTTGAGGTGAACCTCTGTCTATGTGTTATCTCAGTAGTAAAGCTTGCAGAATATGTTCTGTAGCGCCTTAACTATATATAAATGTTTGATGCGGACCACTCTGAGGACCCACTCATTTTTCATGGTCTGATGAAAAAAAAAAAAAAAAAAAAAAAAATCAATATGGGTTTTACTTTAGAATGTAAAATGCATAAGCTTGATAGGATTTTGACCCAAAAAAGTGTTGGCCTTAGTGGGTTTTTTTGTGTGTGTGTGCAATTACTTTTAAAAAGTCTCTTTTAATATCTGTGCCCTTTCACACCCAGAGATCGAATTTCCGAACTTCAGCATTAAAATCCCAATTAACACTGTTCCTAAAGATAAGATCTGTACAGTGCACAACTGCTATATCTTTATCTCCAATTCTTTCACCTCTGCTGTGAAGCTCTGCAGCCTCTCTAGAGTTACAACATGTTTGTTTGCTACTTCTCTGCCTGGACAGGTTTAGTTGAAAAGAAATATGTCGGTAGCTTTGTAGTTGCATTGTAAAGTAAGGTGTTCAAAGTTTGAAGATTTATTTCATAACAACCCCTTCTTTAAACATTACATCACATCCTAACGTATCTGTAGTATGCCTTGGTTTAAAGTGTTTCTTAAATATGTTCTCTAACGATCCTCTGAAGTGTTCAAAGAACTGCTATTTTTATGCCGGGACTAAATAAGACATGGTATAAATCCATAATAGTTAGGTAATTTTTGAATGCAGTAGGCTGCCATGAATTGCATTCAAGGGTATAAGAGTGTAATACAATGAATCCAAATATAATCCACACTAACAAGACTTTTAGCTGTTTGTTTTACTATGTCTCCTTTTCAGAATCAGAGTCTGGTTTAATGGCCTAAGTTTCTGCACATGAACAAAAAGTTTTTATTTTGGTTCCATTTTTTTTTTCACTGTCCAGGAATTTAAATATTAATATCTACATTTTGTTACAAACAATCTGAATCTGTTTTTTTAATTCTAAAGATTTTTATATACAGCTTACTGTAACGGGTTATAACCCGTTACAGTTATAAAAGAAGAAAATAAGGTTGAATTAGAGCAAATATGCATAGTAATGATCTCCTCACTCTGACTGTAAAGCGTTCAACAGAGAGACAGCCTGGGAGAAGAAACTGCCACTGTGGCAGCTGTTTTTTGCAAATAGCTCTCTGTGACACTATTCTGAAGGTAACATTCACTTTGTGTCCAGTCTGTGTGGATACTGGTGATCCTCTCTGTAGAAATACCTGTTCCTTTGCGCGTATTTTAGTGGATGTAACATCTAGATCTCCTAAATGTTACCTCCACAACCTTTAGTGAGCTGATGTCCAGCAGGTTCTTATCTCACCAGCTGATTCTGACACATAATTTGAATGAATCAGAACAATTCAGAGTGATGTGGAGGTGGTTAAATTCAGCTGGACTTGCTTCTGATTGAGGAAACTTGGGTTGATGATTTTTAAGAGCCAGGTAAACTCCATGAGTATCCTAAATTATTTGGGTAAGAGGTTAAGATGTCCCAGGATAAAATGTATTCCTGTTTTGACTGCATCATTCCCTGAGCTGCACAGGTAGGCCTATGATCTCCTTTAGATGGTTCATTACCAGTTAATCAATGGTATGTTTTTTTTTATTTCCTCTTCACATCTAAGGACAAATTTGGAATATTTTATCACAAATAATCCTAATACCATTAAGGTTCTGTACAACACTGTTATGAGGAATTTGCTTTTTCATTGATTTCTAATACTTCTCTCTCATGTTTTCAGGAAATATCAGAAATGCTCGGCTCAGAAGTCTTGAACGTATTCTGCCCTCAGTCCTTGTGAATCTTCATCCATTTCTTCTTTGAGCCGTTAAACCTTGGAGCCTGAACCTACCATGCTGCATTCAACACCCTGCACCAACTTGAGGGCCAGTTTCACCCTTTACTGGCCCTTTCACATGTTCCTGCTGGAGGTGCTGATAACAGGGGTCCTGCCGAGCATCTCCAGATTACCTCCTTCAGCCAAACACGAGATCATCATGGATGGGGACTTGGTGATTGGTGGCTTGTTCCCTGTGCATGAGAAAGGTGAAGGGATGGAGGACTGTGGGAAAATCAATGAGGAGCGGGGAATCCAGAGACTGGAAGCCATGCTTTTGGCGCTCGATGAGATAAACTCCAGTGATCGTATCCTTCCTGGCCTCAAGTTGGGCGCTCATATCCTAGACACCTGCTCCAAAGACACCTATGCTTTGGAGCAGTCACTGGATTTTGTCAGGGCATCGCTCACCAAGGTGCAAGACCCAGGGTTCATTTGCCCTGATGGCTCCAGACCCATCCAAAATGAGGTTCCATTGGCTATTTCTGGAGTTATAGGAGGATCATACAGTGATGTTTCAATTCAGGTAAGGAGACAAATTGATTGATTTCACATTTTCAAATATGTGTTTAAGAAAATGGCACAAAAATACAAAACTGTAGGAGTTCCTATAGGCTTTAGCCCAGCTGTTAATCATGAGTGATACTGGAAACGTGGTTTATTAGTAACTTCTTACACAAAGAATAGGTGAAGAGTGAAACAAATTTCATTTGAGATCATTGTGTGCACTTATGAAAATGAAAAAAGAAGTCACCAGAAAATGGCAAAGAAATCTAAATTTAACCTTTTTAAAATATACTTGTGTAATTTCATAACCCATGAGCTATTTATTGGCCAGTTACCTTATTTATAACCATATTATAGCCATATTATAGCCTTATACAAAGTATAGCCTTATACATTATAGCCTATAGTCAGTTTTAAGATAAACCATTTAATGTAATACATTTAGTAGAAAATGAAGAACATCCCTCACAAAGAGAGTCTATCAAAAAAAACAGTTTGAAGAAAGAAGTGCTGATGAGCTCTGCAAAAAGAACATTTACAGAAAATGATTACTGTGCAGGAGTGGTGGATCCTTTCTAGGGAAAAAAACAAGCAGCTTCAAGCTCTTCCAGCCAAATGAGCGATAAAAATGTAATTCTGGACTTTTAAACAAAACTGAAAGCTAAAGCAACTGTGGAACATTTTGTCTAAAAAAAAGCTCATTAAATGTGCACCAGAAATAAAAAAATTTTGCTGTTGAGTAGCTCCCTATTAAGAGTTTAATCCATTTTTTTTTTAAAAGTGCCAGATGATAAAGGAGGATCGTTTAGGGAATAACTATTGCTTTGTAGATTTGATGACATGCAGGACTAATTGAAGCTGTTCGAAAGCTTTTAAAAAAAATCTGAATTCCTCCTAATTTAAACTGTTTTGAGAATTAAAGAAGTCAACATTTTTGGAGTGATTAACCTACTTTTAACCTTATTTTTTTATTGCTTTCTATTGCCAAAAATGCCTCCTAATGATAAATACAGCAGTTGATCCAGTCAGACTATGGTGTCCTGTCACTCTTCTTAAAATCTGCATTTGATTATCTTCATTATAATGACTGGATTCTGCTCTAATTATTCTCTGTGCCAATCATGTCCTGGTAAACAGATACATAAATTTGTAATAATTTCAAATTCGTATAATTAGATTCAGCATAAATGTCAGTCTGCAGAAATTATGAGCTTTTAGCAAAGATTTGGGACAAACTTTGCCAACTTAAACTTTGACATCTCTCTAAAAACCCAGACTTTGCTTATTTATCATTTTAATGAACATATAGTTGTCTTGCATGTTTACAGCACCTTTGATTTAAATATTCATCGATTTTTTTGTGATTAACATATCTCTGAGTTTAAAGGTATAGTGGAAGATTTTCCTTTTCTTGGTGGATCATCAAAATAAGTGGTCCTTCAAATTGTCAATCATTCTGGTGATATGTTTAAGTAAGTGCTCCTATGTGCTCATCCCCATTCTCACTTACCGGTGGTGAGTCTGACATAGTGGAAAAATTGCAAATCTTCTATCTGGAACTAAGCTTATATGAGTGATGCAAATGGCAACTTTTAAACAGAGCGTGCACGAGGAGAAATGTGCTTGTGCACGCTCTCACATGCTTTTAAGAGGCATTCCCTCTCGGTAGCTGGTACAGGGTTGTGCATGTAAAAAATTTTTGTGGAGCGGGTGGGTCTTTTCAAAAATTTGCGAAGATCCTTCAATATACCTTTAAGTATTAAGACTATGAGAATGCTCAGCCTTCATTTTGTTCAGATAGATCATGGGTTCTGTGGCTCAGAGTTGAACGCATTTTGGTGCAACATGTGCTCATTAACTTAGCAACAAAAACAAAACACCTTGTGAAGATGTTTGACAAAGGTAGTGAGAGAGTATTATTATCAATGGTGAAATAAGTTACACAATGGAACTGGTTGAAATACCACTCCAAGGGGAAGGGCAAGTCAACCCAAAACAGCATAAAAGATAAAATGACTTTTTTCCATAAAAAGATGGTCAGAAACACCATTCCAACTTTGTAGGTTTGCAGTACTGCAGCAGGGACTTCTACACTTCACCAAATATGATGCTAGAAATTGTAGGAGAGGAGAAATGTGTTTGTGCATGCTCTCACACACATTTAATAGGCGCTCCCTCTTGGGGGCGAGTACAGCGTTGTGCATGTGCTTTTTTTTTTTTTTTTAAGTGCAGAGGATCCTTTTAAAAATTGGTGAAAATCCTCCACTATACCTTTAAGGACTAAACATAAAAAAAAACATGTTAAGCAGCAGCCAGTGCTTAAAGAATCAATATTCATAAACAAATTTCACCTTAGCTGTGGTTGTATTTCAGAATTACATTGGAAACTGACCTCTCCCACACACATTCTAAAAGGATCTCATCATACTTTTTATTTCCCTAAAGCACAACTACTGCAGTAAAGGTTTTGGTTAGATGATGTAGGTAGAAATTATATGGTTAACTTTGCATTACCTCCACATCATAGCCCATTTTATGCAAGTCAGAGGAGCTGCACGGGGACACAAAGTTTCAATTCATATCCTTAAAGCTAAATGATTTGTAGACCAATTGTTGGCTTTCTCTAAATAAATGAGAAGGATCTATATACTCTGGTTTATTCTACACCCCATAACAACACTCGGGTTAACTGAATTGTTCTGAAGTTTATAAATTTTAAAGAGTGTAAATAGTTGATTGTCTCAACAGAATTATGTTTTGGGCAGAAAAAAAAAACCATGACCTATAGGCTTTAATTCTTGTCTGATAACTAAATTTGATTTTACTACAGTTTTCAAACATCTGTGATAATTTATGGTATATATCATACTAGTCTTAATGGAATGAGGTTCTTTTACTTCTCAAAGCCATATGTAACCGGTGATATGAATGTATGCAACTGTGTAGGACAGAGGAAGGATCGTCCAATCGATTATTATATCTACTAAGATAGACCTATTCGGAATAATTAGTCCTGAAATCAATACAGTAGCATTATTATTTTTAAAACTGGATTTGTTTTTTCAATGCCAAAAGTCTAATTTGGAATCAGTCACTTCTCTCTTATATGACACTATAAGAGAATATTTCAACAAAGACTAAGGCCTTTGTTGAAATGATGTAAATAATCTAAACTACATATTTCATTTAAAGATTTAATTTGAGCTGTTTTGGAAACTTAAATTTGGTTTCTGCATTGCTAAATACATTTCTGGTTATCTATATCTTTAGGCTTAATGCATCCTGCCAATGTTACCTAGTTGGAAAAGAAGCAACATAATGACATAAACTAACATTAACAGAAGCAGGTATGTAAATATAAGATTTCTTTTTCTTTTTTTATTGGCAGCTTTATTTGATGCACATCATATATCAAATTTTTACCAAATTATAGAGCAGAACACAAACAACTGATTATCAGATAACAATTGGGAAAATAATGCAAAGGCTTCAAATAACCCCAATATTACTTAAAAAAAACATTCATCTCTTGCACTCAGTCTATACTCGCAGTGGTGCTTGGCTGATATGGAAACCAGCAGGACCCCTGCTGGCTTCTGTGGAGGTAATGAAGCAAACCTTCAACAGCTCTGTGACTATCATATAATCCTCATCACGTGACTGTGTGTGTGTCCATGCAGGGAGCTGCGGCACTTGTGTAAACTTCTAAAATACGTTTACAGTCTCCACACCAGCACATCTATTATTGATATAATGAGAGAGGTCAAGAGTGTTCAGCTGGCTGCGGTTGATGGGGGTGGATTACATCAATTCAGAAAACTGACTGAGACTGTTGATGGTGCTTTTTTTTTATAGTTGATCTTTAGATCTGTTAGACACCTACAGTACTATCCTCCTTTAGGATAGTGGGTATCTAACATCAACCTGAGAAAAGTTAAGTTATTGTTTTGATTTTGGTTACCTTTAGGCATCTTAACTGTTATCACTTTGCATAGACCTGTTAGCATCGATTAAAAAAATTACAATTTTGAAACAACAAATATTTGTTGGATTATGTATCCTAACACTGAATTACCAGAGAAAGTGGTGGAGTGATGTAAGTTTTCCTGGTCTGTATCAACTAAAGAGATGATTTTTCATACTGCTGGACAGCTTACCTGTAATAAAATTAGGCCACTACACTTTTCTAAAGTGAAGATATATTTGGTTGTTTAGAAAAATCACAACAATGGTTTAAAACTGCAGTTTGCATTAGTGAATATCACAAATTCCAATCCAAATACAAATCACACTAAGAAGGCTACAGAAGTAATTTTGGCAATTGCTATTGCTATTCCCCTTACTACAAAAATGTGACCTCCTGAAATTAATAATAGTGTGCCCCTAGGGAAAATAACTTATTTGATGCAGAAAAGAAGTAATTCTTCTTACAAATGTTTGAAACCACTTAAGGTACATGCAAAATGCTGGTAAAGATTGTCAGTCATCCAGATCATGGTCATTCCAAAATAAGAAAATTAAAAACAATCCAATGGGCTTTGTTTCCAAGTTTGAAGACGTTTCGCTTCCCATCCAGGCCAAAGGAGTGGACTCCTTCAACCGTTTCAATTAGCATGTTTTCAAAACAGAAACAAGGTTTTGTTGGGCTACTGTATAAAACCTCGAACTCAACGCTATTCCTGACATTTTGAATTGAAAAAGCTTCCTGGATGGGAAGCGAAACGTCTTCAAATTTGGAAACAAAGTCCAGTGGATTGTTTTTGATTTTTTAGAATTGCATGCAAAATCTGCCCTCCCTGTTATTGAGCTGGTTTAGCATGGTTTTTTTGAGAGCACCTTATTGCTTATGAAATATCCATTCTGTCTGAGATTTTCTTTTTTATTTTTATTTGTCTGGTTAGTTAATATGTGTAATTTGGTCCTTGTAAATAAAAAATAAAATATTCAAAAGCTAAAGTTGGCAAGCTTTGAGCAGCATATCTGTTAGACAGTAACAGGTTGAGTAGAAAGCTGCTACAG